CAGTGCCTGGAGCTGATGCACAGCAGACGAGGTCTGGCTAATAAAAAGATGAGATTTGGGGTTTTAATGGCACAGAATCAGTGCAGAGGTTTTGTGAGGGTGTATCTAGAGCTCTGGAGGAAGCTGCTATTCCATAATTAACTGGGAATTACCTTGCTTTGGTGTGGAACCGTGTGTCTGGCCAGGCACAGCTGTGCTCTGTGAGCAGACTTTGTCTGATGGGAGCCTCCCCAGCGTTCCTCACTGTCTGCACTGCTGGAGCACTCCCTGCTCGCTTTGCTGCAGGGTTCTGGGCAAGGAATTCCTGCCCCAGCTTCCCTGCTCACTTGGCATCCGTCCTGTGCCTTCTGCAGCTCCCTGGGCACTCGGTGCCAGCCCCAGGCTGTGCCTGTGTGTCCCCCCTGTGTGTCTGCCTGTCCCCTCTGCGTGTCTGCCTGTCCCCTCTGCGTGTCTGCCTGTCCCCTCTGCATGTCTGCCTGTCCCCAATCTCTCTCTGCCTGTCCCCTCTGCATGTCTGCGTGTCTGCCTGTCCCCCCTGCGTGTCTGCCTGTCCCCTCTGCATGTCTGCCTGTCCCCAATCTCTCTCTGCCTGTCCCCTCTCTCTCTGTCCCCTCTCTGTGTCTCCCCTTGGAGCCCTGCCTGGCCCGTGGCACCTCTGTCTCACAGTTTGGTTTCTCTCTGACTTGTCGTGCAGAGCAGGATCACCTGCTTGGCCTAAATGCACTTTTTTTACCCCAAACCAAGTAAATCCAGCGCTTTTGTTGCTGGCTTCAGCTCTTCACAGCTGTGACACTGCAGGAACTGAAATTTTGCTTTAGCCTCAGCCTCTGGTGTGTCCTTCCCGCAGGGAGCTCCCAGCCTGAGCCCTGAGCAGATGGGGTTAAAACTGATTTTATTTTCTGCTCAGACTTGGCACATGGAGCAAGAAAACGGCATGCAGGGAGTCCAGGTCCCTTTCCACCTCTCTGTTGCGTGTCTGCTGCCAAAATACAATCTCAGACCTAGAGGATGCCTTGGTTGTGTTAAAACACATCAGGTGCCCGAGTTCCAGAGGTGCCAAACACTTGGAAGTGCCAGCGAGGTGGTGAAATTCCAGAGGCACCTCAAGTGGGACAGCTCCTGGCTGAGCATCATCTCTGCTTGCAGGAGAAAGTTGGTCTGTTCACATGAGCCTGACAGCTAATTAAAATAATAAATTGATGATGGTAATTAGGCAGTGACCTTAATTTGATTCTAATCTCCTTAGTGGGTGCAACAGCCAGAGTTTTTTTGGCTCTTCAGCCATCTGTGACAGCCAGGAAGGTCCTGGTTGGCTGTGCCACCACTCCTTGGGGAGGTGTGACATGGGACAAACCCAGCGTGGGCTGTCCCCTCCCCAGCTGCTGCTATCACCACCCTTGTTGTGCTTCCTTTGGGAATATTCCCTTGTGCAGCAGGGCAGGGCCACCAAATTCAGGCCAGGGTGGGGAGGAGAGGCCACAGGGACTGGCTGGGGACCAGGGCAGGGATTGTCTGAAGGGACAGGGAAAACCTAAATTATTTTGGTTGTCACTGGGTGGTGGGCTCAGCTCAGCTGAGAGGAATTTAGGATCCAGCTGGAATTTTGCCTTCCTGGTTTTAGAACGTTTTTGGTTTGAGTTTGGCAAATAAGGGGCTACACAGGAGGTCCTCTCACTTTGGAAAAATTGTAATTTTCAGGGCTGGAAGTCATGGGGGAGCCTGAGCTTCCTCCAGAGGGTTAATCTCTAGGTCTGCTCATTGCAAATGAGCTTTACAACAGCGGTGCTGTATCCTGAGCTTGGCCATGCCCAGTCCTGCTGCTGCCAGGCAACAGCACCAGCAAGAGGAGTTTAAAAAACCCCAAATCGGCCCAAACTGAGAGAAGAGCCCCAGGAACTCGCCAGTTGCCCAGGTGTGTCACAGCCTGGAGGCCAGGTGGGCTTTGTTTTCCCCCAGTCTTTGTTTTGCCAGGCTCTGGATTCAAATATTGATGTTGAAGGCCCTTCGGCAGGGTAGGGAGGAACTGCCACAGCAGCAAATCTGATGCAGGGAATATTTTTGGTGTGCTTCAGCCAAAAGCTATATGCAGTGCTTTTAAAGGAAACAGTGCCTGGATCCCACTGCCTGCTGCTCTGGGGCTTCATGGCCAGTTTTTCCTGCCCTGGCAATAAGCTCTTTATGTCCTTCTGTCCTGCCCAAGTTAACCCTTGGATCTCCTTAAGGGATGAGCTGTGGAAGGATTTTTTACTGGCTCACAGGCACTTGGGTACCTCGGGAAGTGGAAGCTTTTCAGGGGTAGATTTTGCTGTAGGAAAACCTTTGTGCTCCAGTGGATGTTTTTATTTGTGGTGGAGGTTCCAGAGCAGACTTCTCTTCCTGGCCTCTGCTGGAGGCTGGAGGAGCTTTTTGCTGGAGAAGAGGCAGAGGTGGAGGTGCAGAGTGGCCTCTCCCTGGCCAGGAGGCTGAACTTGCACCTGGGCTTTCCCCTGCCCTTTGTGTAAATCCTAATCTTATCTCCAGCTCTGTAAAGCCCCGGCCTCCCTGGGCCTTCTGTGTTGAGCACACGTGTGCACTGGGGGTAATTCATGTGGGAAGGTGAGTCCTGACAGAGGTTTAACTTCCAGCCTTTCTTCTGGATCCCACCCCGCAGGTGATGGGTTGTACTGAGTGCACCTGTGCCATGCTGAATGGTTTTATCTCTTCTGTTTTATCTCTTTTTCCAGGACTTTTCAGCTCCTGAGGAGCTGGATTTGCTATGGAGGGCTGTAAAAATGCCTGAGTCATGTGGTGGGCTGATAAGGAGTGATCTCTGCCAGGTAGCTTTAGGCAGCAGCAGAGTTTATCTTCTCCTCTTTGACACTCCTATTGCAGAATCAAAGCATTCCAGGAGCCTCTGATGGTCAGCTGTGCCATTAAGTGCAATGTTAATTGCTGGGTAGAAGCAAGAAGAGCTGGGAGATTCCTTCTCCTGGTTTTTCTTGGACCAAGCCCTTTTCTTGACACAAACCCTCCCTCTCTTTAGGAGAAGCAGCAGTGAGGGGGTTTTGGCCCGTGAGTTGGGAGCTGCAGATCCGAGCCTGGAGCTCTCCTGGCTCAGCTGTGTTGGCCCTGGCTGAGGGAGGTGTCCTGCTGCCCTTTCCCTCCCCATTCCCAGAGGATAAAGCTGCCAGACTAAACCTCGCCCGGCTCCAGCTCTGATTTTCTTGGAGAATGAAACACATCTGCAATGACAGAGCGAGGCAGATTCTTTTCACTTTGTTCTTGTGTGATAGGAAAATGATAAAAAAACCAAATCTCATTTCTCTACAGTGCAAGCAAACAAAAAACCCCTCCAAAAATCCCAGCCCAGGCCCCCCAGTGCCCCCAAACCTTTAACTAGTACCTGTTAACCTGTTAACCAGGTTACCTCTCCTCTCTGCCCTGAGCTGCACTTTGTGGTTATTGTGAAAATGGGAATGGCAGGTTTTTTCCAGAACAATGAATATTCAAACCTGTCTTCTCCTTCATTCTTCAAGTGAGAAATACTTGTGCTACCTTAATATTTACTCTCACAAACAAATCTTAACTCTGATTTGCAGGCACTGCCTTCCATACCATGCTGATTTAATTAATGCTTCAAGGGATCTCTGTGCCTAAATTGTCTTTTTTATGGAACTTCTCAGGAGATACCTATGTTGCTTTGCAAGTTTTAATATGTCTTTCACCTCAAGGAACCAGAATTTTCCAGCAAATGGGCAATTAACAGCTATTAAGAGGCTCTAAAATATTAGTATTCATATATTAGTACAGTCCTGAATTGCCCTCAGCAGAAGAGTCTTTCTCAAATTCAGTTGTTATTGCAGTTACAGTAGACAGGAGCTGCTGGCATTTCCTGAGCAGCATCTGGAAGGGAGACTTCAGGAAAAACCCAAGTTCTGCTGCTTTTTTTCCAATCCAGACCTGTGCTTGTGAGTGCCCATGAGCTGTATTTCCACCTTCGGGTTCAGCTGAACCCATCATTAACTTGCTTTTGAAGTAACACCGGTGTGAGTGGGCTCTGCTGCAGAAAATTCCACTTTTTGTGGCTTTCAAGAGGCCTTTTTGCAGGTTCTGTCCTGTACTTTCACCTGTACCTGACCTGGTTTCACCTGCAGGTGTAGGCAGCTGCGTTCTCTGTTTGAAGCTCAGTAACCACAGGTTGCAAAACTTGGATTTTCTGTGCTGTCCTGTGGGGAGTTTAGGTTCAAATATGTTAATTTGTGTTCTTTAGAAATGAAAAATGTGGGAGGGCAATGGCCTGGCAGGTCTGATTTAAGGAGCAAATGTGGGGAAACTGTACTGGAGTGACCCCCTGAGGTGTCTGACCTTTCCAGTTCCTGTGCCAGAAGAGAAGTGAAACTCATTAAAATGCAGAGTTTATCCTCAAACTGTTCCCTCAGCATCAGGCAGCTTACTTGGAATGTTCTTCATGCAGCTGAGAATTTGGGGGCAGTTTTGGGTGAGGATGTCCAGCAGAAGGGGCTGTTTCTGTCTGAAAGGCACGTGTGCCTCACTGTCCATCCAGTCTTGAGCTTCCCAGATCCTTTTTATTTCAAAGTAAGTTGATGCTTCTTATTTCAAAGTGTGTTTCATAAGTTTGGGTGGTAATTCGTAATTGGACAGAAAAGTCCACATTGCAGACTTGGAGTGATTAGTTATTGGGTTAAAAGTAAAAATAATTTAAGTGTCATTTCTAAATTGCATAGTTTGGCCTGAAAAGGCCTTGTACAGAAAGGTAGTTAACCTTTTTGTAACGTGTTAGTAGAATGCTGTAGAACTCAGGACTTCTAATATGGCTAAGAAATAATAAACATCTGAACTATTATTTAAGTGCCTTCAATCCCAACCTTAACAGAAGTAAAGAGGCCAAAAACCAACATACGGTGGTGCCCCGTGTGAGGAGTGAACTCAGATGATGAGACTGACTTTTTTCCCTCCTAAAAAAAGCCAATTTCTGCCTTCCCTCCTAAAAAAAGCCAATTTCTGCCTTCCCTCCTAGGAGCCGTTGATGGGAGCGCCACGCTGAGGTCCCAGCTGGGTTCCTGAGCTGCTGTTGCCTCCTGGAGCTGCTGTGCTGCAGTGAGGAGCTGTCCCTCCTTTGGCCTGTCCCAGACACCTCCTGTGCTGCATGCAGGTGCTGGAGACCATGGGCATCGGCAAGAACACCACCTCCAAGTCGGTGGAGGCAGGAGGCTCCACGGAGGGCAAATACGAGGATGAGTCCAAGCACCCAACCTTCTTCACCCTGCCCGTGAGTGAGCCCAGCCCGCAGGCAGGGAGTGCTGCTCCATGTGTACAGACACCTGCAGGTGTACAAACCCTTCCAGGGAGTGCTGCTCCA